CCACATTAGAGAATGCCCTTTCAAAGTTATCTGTGGAAAACTCCAATGAGCTCTTGGTATATGGTTTTGTAGTATTACATGGTCTTTATGAATGTCCCATGTAGGTCTATATAGCTAACTCCAACTCAGATTTCACTTCGGGTTGTGAAAGGAAATCTTTTTGGTGTGGGGAACTTCTTGAAATCCCAATGGGTATGGTTGTTCTTCATGGAAGGGAGGTTAGTCAAAGAACCCTAATCCTTGCCTTCCACCATCTTGGTTGTCCCATGAGCTTCGATGTAACCCCATTAGGGTGTTGATGGATACTCCCCACATGTTGGAGAAGCCATTGCGATCCTTGATTCGGCCTACAAAAACAAAAGCACTTTGAAATGCAAGGGTGGAAATAAAATAAAGCAAAAATGCCTAAATTAACAAACCTAAGCCTTTCCCGATAACCTAGACGTTTCTCGGCAGCGACACTAAAAATTTGACTTGCTCTAAACTACTCTCCCAATCGAAGGCCAAGTATAACCAACAATCAAGCGTAGTATAGTGGAAGTAAAGTAATAAAATTATAAAAGCCTAGGGTCTGCATGTGTACCATTACTTCGCTTCACTTTGTTATTTAGCCACACAAGATTTGAGATTAAAAAACTAAACTACTCTAACAACTACAATAGCTAATTACAAGTTGGGAGATCACTTAGGCATTGATTCCCCCTAGCCACTAACCGGATCAATGATTAACGATCCTCTAACTCGATCCATTCCTCATTCATAATGAGGAGGATTCTTGACAAGACCTTGAATCTCTACTAGAGCAATCAAGACCCCCTTGAGTCGGTTGGTTACAGGATCGTAACCTTCTCTAAAACAACCGATAAAGGCATTTGGCTGCAGACCCCCTCTATTGGGTGAGGTTCCCACACAATCAAAGCAAAGACCCAATTCAAACTCGTGTTATCAACCCCTTGTTCTCAATCCATGGTGCTCTAATTGGCCTAATTAGATTTTCTCTCTCATAGGTCAATAGAAAAATCAATCTTGATCAAAGAAGAATTAAACATCAAAATATTCATAGATTGGATATGAAAAGAATATCAAGATGGATTACTCATTCAATCATTCACTCAAGCTAATCATGCCTAGGGTTCATCAAAACCTAACTGAAGGAGAAGTATTCCATAAATAGGAGAGTGAATACAATATAAAGCTCATGATCTTCAACTCTCTAGATAAAAGCTCCAAGAATCCTCCTAGATAAAAAAAAATCCCCTTGGGTGTTTTGGTAAAAAAATCCAACTCTCCTCTCTCAAAACACGCAGTAGCATCTTTTCATTTTGCAGAGGCAGCTCGAACACGGCCCCGAAAAACGTTCGTTTTAGGAGGTCGTGTTCATCAATGCTTGTCGTTCTTGGATAAATATCACGACTATGATGCATAAGTCACCGTTGTAATATATAAGTCACAGTTTTTGCCGCAACTCTAGGATATGCTCCTACTTCTCACCACTTAACACGGGGTTGTAACAGGGTCGTGCCCCCAGATGCAAAATCATCACATTTGTGGACATGTTTGGGAACATGACCTTGTCCTCGGTTGTAACCCCTTGCTCTCAATCCATGGTGCTCTAATTGGCCTAATTATATTTTCTCTCTCATAGGTCAATAGAAAAATCAATCTTGATCATAGAAGAATTAAACATCAAAATATTCATTGATTGGATATGAAAAGAATATCAAGATGGACTACTCATTCAATCATTCACTCAAGCTAATCATGCCTAGGGTTCATCAAACCTAACTGAAGGAGAAGTATCTACAAGATATATAAAGGCAAAACATGGGTTGAAATTCTCCCATTTCAAATTTCGTGGTCTGAGAGTGATTCTAGGAAGGTCATTTTTGTCATTGCACCCAGTTCATCTCTATATAATAAAAATGTTATCACTGGGGTTCAAACCTTGGTCAATTAAATGAAGAAACAACATTATAACTAGCTATGCTACTTAATCTTATTGTTATTTCTTTGATTAAACTCTAGACATATGTTTGGTGATGATACTTCTATATTTATATGTTATCTTAAGTTATTTATATTTTATAAAAATAGATTAGTTCTAAGATTGATCAAACATTAATATTAAATTGTATCTGTAGTTTAGTTTAGACAAAATACAGAAATATAACCAATACATGGACTTTTGTGACGAGTATATCCATTTTTTGTGACAAATATACACATAATATAATGATAATTTTGGAAAATGAGAGTTTCATTTCAAATTTCGTGGTCTGAGATTGATCCTATGAAGTTCTTTTTCATCATTGCGCCCAATTTATCTTTATATTATGTGTAGATTGTCACAAAAAATTACTATATTTGTCACAAGTTTTATGTTTTGGCTAAACATATGTATTTTTATCTAAACTGAACCATACATACCAGTTTATATTTAATGTTTGAATCAATATTACTTGAGTTCCGATTTCACAATTGATCACTTTCTATAAAATATAATAATTTCAGGTGAAAGTAGGAAGTGTAATGTTTTAAGATTTTTCATTTCAAATTTCGTGAATTGAGAGTGAAAGTAGGGAGAGTAAGTTTGTCATCACAATTATTTATCTACTTCATATAAAAAAGTATCAATATCAAGATTTGAGCCATGATCTATTCAAACAAAAAGAATAATCACAACCAATTACACTAAACAAATTTATTTTATCTTATTAAATTGTAAACATACACTGCACGGAGATTTGAAAAGTAGAGGACTTTTCCATCAATGTTAGCTAGCCTATTTAATCTTTCTGAAAAGCAAAGTTTAATACGTGATTTATAATTTTTTTATAACCTATACAATTTCGGATAATCTTGAAATTGCAACCCAAATTTCGTTGCTTGAAATAAGGCATATCAAATTGCAGTATTGAATATTCAAAAGTCATGTAGAATTCTTTAAATTTATGTAAATTTTCAGAACTACTACGAAACAATAATATTTTGTACAAACTATAGGTGAATGGTTCTCTATGATTTTAGTCTGGTTAACTGCTAAACTTTATACCTATTGCTAATTTCGCATGAATGGATCCAACAATAATGAGACAATATTGGGTTTAATCTGATATTCATTTCACCATTTTTGGATGTGTTAGATCAATTTATAGGGCATTAACATATAAATGAGTTATAATTAATTTAATCTTAATATTTGTGATGCTTGATGCATATAACTATACCTAGGCACATGGTCGAGCTAGCACGACACAGTTAGCGCATACCATGAAGACAATATATGTGGATCGGTTCTGTACAAACATGAATGCTTCATGGGTTGCACTAGACCTAAACTTTAAGGGTTCGCGCACAAGTGCAAACACCACACAGTCTATATTGATGAACTCATGTTTTATGGAGAAATATGCCATTTGATAATAATAAAATAAAATATTCTAAAAATAACATATAAAATTTGAATTAATGAGTAGTATTTAACATCAATGTGTGACGGCTCATATTTTAAAAGGTTTATGTAATATATTCATTGTTTATTTTGAGACTCAAACCTTTTCCAATTTATGCAACTAAACACTCATTTATAAAATCGTTCTTGATTAACTTCATAGCAAAAAAGATCTTTTTTACGGCTTGCAATAATAACAAACAACGTCACCAATAATTTTAGAAGCAACTAAAGTGAAGAAGTAATTGAGATTTAGTATCTCTTTGCAAATGTGTGTGTTTGGGGGGGGGGGGGGGGGGTTATTGGTCCAAAATATTTGAGGAAATGGTTGAAATTCATATATCATTTTTTCGAATATTGCATATTGAATATGAGTATTGAAATTTTGGAAGCGATATATAATTCTTAAATTAGTATTAATTTTTAGCCCGATTGACCAATAGTCTTAGACCTCTTGCTAAACTGACATTATTGGATCCAATAATCATAAGATGAGATTTAGTTTGATATGTTGGTTCAAACCATTTTTTATGTGTAATGAATTTGTACAACAAATACATGTAAATAAGTGAAGATGAACCTAATTATGCATTTTAATTCTTTCTATAAATAAAATAGTTTAAGCGATGAACTAACTATACGCTCACTCAATTGATTTAACGAGTGTTGTTTTTATCACTTTTAGTAATTAGTTTATTCACAAGCTATCAAACTACTTTGCTCCGTCGAGAAATAAGCGGCCATCTGTTCGCCAGGTTTCAGGTGGTTTGATTCACACTATCGACTGTGAATGAAGAATAAGTATTTCGAACGCAAAATTGGAGAAGTAATTGAGATGTTTCTAGGTTTCTCTCGATTCGAGGCGGTGGGAAGAAAGAGGAAGGGAATGGGGAGAGTGGTGAGATTCAAGCTCAGAGGTTAAAGAAGAGGAAGGCAAAGAGAGAGTGAGAACACATTTACAAGAGGGGAAAAATTATGTAGAGAGATATAATTGTCTTTCTCCTTTGCTTAGAGGGTATTGTTAGCCCTCTTCTATTGAGTTTTGATTTATTTTAGGGGATGACATTATATTTGACATATTTTTTTCCATTTCAATAAAAAAAATCCTAAATCAATAATATCATTTGAATGCTCTCTATTGGAAAAAATTTAATGGACATACTAAACTCTACGAGAGATATTTTCTTTCATCCTAAAGGTTGATTATGTATGTAATATGAGAAGCAACTCTAATATTCAATTATATAGTTTAATTAAATAATGAATGACAATTAGTTATATTTATTTCTTTTTTCATTAAGTAATTATATGTAATGTTTATATAATTTCCCCCCTCTTTTCATGTAGGTCTAAACACTTTATGCATAGTTGGATCACTTTCAAAGATGTTATGTGCATAACTAAGGTACAAAACAATCACTTCATGCATTTTAAATCATGTATTATATCCATTATTGTATACCATATTACTCGACAAAATTTTTCCGGGCAACGGGCCGAGCCCTGTGCTAGTTCCATATAAAGTATTTATATGTCAACTCGAACATCTTACAAAACTCATCAAAACGACTCTTATCTTTAATAATACTTTTGATTGAGCTATCCGTAAAGATCGAAAGATCATCAACAAATTTCAAGATCTTTTGTACAAGGTTTGGTCTACTTTTGGAATGCAAAATCTGTGTGGGTTAATTTGGATAAGAGGCCATTTGGATGCTATTAATTAATTAATCAACAGCGCCTGACCTCTTGCATTATTATCATGAAAGTAGAGACAGCGTACAATGTGGATAAAAACTCAGAAATCCTATGGCCACAATTCAAAGCAGCAGTGGACGACAACAGAAAAAAAAGAAAGAAAAAGAGAAAGCAAAATTGGCTGTTACTGTTAGGAACGGGAAGAAGAAAGAAAAATAGAACTCCAAAAGAAAGGAAGAAAGAAAATGATGAGGCAGTATTCTTTGAGTCTCATCCCTCAGGCTTCTTTACCTTGCTTTTCTCCCCATCACGCCAGGAATAGCGTTATTATCAATAGCTCATTTACATCGCCAAAGTTCCTTTCTAGTTTCCATGTTGCACCATCAGCTTATCACATTACCAAGCAACATAGCCACAACAAGAAGCAGCAAACAATATGCAGCAACAGCAGCAGCAGCAGAATTCTGCCCATCTCAAAGGCTAGTGATGGGGGCTTCTTCAACAGCGGCAGCAGCAGCAAATTGTCCATTCAACTTGGGGCACTTGTGGCCATTGTGAGAGGACCAAAAGAAAAACAACTTCAATTATATTAAAAGCGCTTTTCTTACCCTTTAATCTGAGTTTGATTGATGAAATTATCGTTTTGTTGTTTCAGCTTGTGCAGCCAGGAGCAGCATATGCAGTTACAGGGGTGAATAATGAGGAAGATCTCACCTGGACGTTGATCCAAGTAGCCATTGTTGCCTTTTGGTACTTCATTATCATGCCTGTGAGTCCAGTTAATTTTAATCAATTGACTCTTTCAAGTAATTAATGCATATTAGTCTTGTTTAGTTTCATGTAATAACAGTTAATAATTAATCAATTTGTTATATATGGTGTGTGGGTGGGGAAACCACAGCCTGTCATAATGAACTGGCTAAGGATAAGGTGGTACAGAAGAAAACTGCTGGAAATGTATCTGCAGTTCATGTTTGTCTTCCTCTTCTTCCCAGGGTGAGTTTGTCTTCCTCTAAGTGATTGATGATTAATTAACTGATTGATTAGTTGCTTTGTGTGGACACTTATTATGTGTGATTGCAGGGTAATGTTATGGGCGCCATTTCTCAACTTCAGGAAGTTCCCAAGAGATCCATCAATGAAGTACCCTTGGTCTAAACCCGAAAATCCTTCCCAAATCAAGAACGATTACCTCAAGTACCCTTTTGCCTCTCCTGAAGATTATGAATAACAGATAAAAGAAAACAACAAAGACGGACCTGAGAACCTCTTCCTCTTTTATTGATTCACTCACTGATTATATGTTTTAAACTAAATATAATTTCTTTTACCCATTGATCGTTGCTCTAAGCATATGTACAACGCACTGCAGTATCCACTTCCACCAGAAACAAAAGATACAAGAGTATCCACTCACTTAATGCAATATTAGCGCAGCATTAGGATTCGACTATTGTTGTTACATAGATGCTAGATGCGCCTTCGAGACCGATTTCTACGGACTGAATTTTTTTATCTATGGATTTTAGGATAGTTTTCTCGAAATTCTTGAGTAAAGGATATCTTTGATGGGGAGAACAACTCAAAATAGCTACGAAACTACTAATTGAACGAAGAAATAACAAAAGAAAAAGAAATATAAATTGGGTTTTAATACTAATACCATGAATCCTATTCCGAATAGAACAAATATGATAATAAAGTAACTTGAACAATTCCATAAAATAACTAGACACGTATAATTAAAATATACGCAAGCCTAATACTTTGAATTGTAACGTTTGCTCTATCTCGAACATTCTTCGCTCCTCCTTCTTGTCCCCAAGGTTTGCGGGATGAGCAAACATGCTTCAACCTGGGTTGATGTAGAAGAACATTCCACTTAACTCATTGTAGACGCCAACAAGGGTTTGACGACCACGCACGTGCTTTTGATATTTCCAATCGCGCTCGGGTACTTAAATGAATTACCTAGCACTGGTGGCTGCTTCAACTCTCCACTTCATTGTCTTGGTCATCGCTCACGCAACTCCTAGAGCACGAGTGGCAAGAGGCGAGAAGACAACATCAAAAGTTTCAGTGACAATATTAACAATAAGTGCTTGAAGCTCGTCGCAAATGTTGTTTCGACAAACCTTTCAGGATGGAGCTGCCTTCCTGATTGAATCTAGGTTCGTGAGTAACTATAGTATCGACAGTAGAATCTCATCGTTTCTTCAACTTCTTTCTCCAATAGAAGAACTTCCTCGTCTTGAGACGATTTCTTATATAGTGGCTTGTATTGATATCGCCTTCCTTCAAATAATTATATATGTGTATATTCTTGTTGACAACTTTCCCTGTCGAATGACTGCCATGATTTTCATGATTTTCTTCCATGCGATGAGATCGACAACAGTTGCGGTTGGGGGAATATTGTGGTCATTGGAGCTACAATTAGCTCCTCTTCCTTCCTTACAAATCCTTCCCCTTCTGGAATAATTGTTTCATGGGCCTCACAATACTGGAGAAGCCTTCCAAAAACCTCCAGTAGTACCCAGCTAAACCCAGATTACTCAATACTTTAGGAACGTTCTTTAGTAGAGCCCAGTTTGTCACAGTTTCAATCTTTTTGGGATCTACTTCAACTCCACGACTAGTGATCATATGCCCCAAGAATAGGACCCCTCCTTCTTGAAGTCGCATTTGGAGAACTTGGCATACAACTCTTTCTCCTTTGGTCTTTGTAGTATCACCCTTAAGTGCTCTTTGTGACCCTCTTCACTCCTAGAGTAGTTGAGGATGTCATCAATGAAGATGATGACAAACTTATCTAAATAAGACATGGTTCATCAAAGCCATGAAAGCTGCCAGTGCATTAGTCAAACCGAACGACATGACCAAGAACTTATAGTGGCCATATCATGTGTGGAATGCCGTCTTAGGTATGGAGCCATCTGCCACCCTCAATTGATGGTAACAAGATCTCATATCGATCTTCGAGAACACCTTTGCTCCTTGGAACTGATCAAAGAGACCGTCTATCCTTGGAAGAGGATATCGATTCTTGATTGTTGCCTTGCACAGTCTCATAGTGCCATCATTCTTCTTCACGAACAACACCGGTGCTCCCTAGGGGTGGGCATCGGTTCGGTTCAAACCGAACCGAACAGCAATATACCGATACCCTGAGTGCCCCCAAAGCTCAAACCGATTTTGAACCGAATTGTATTTTGGTTTGGTCTGGCCGAACCGAAATACAATCGATTCGGAATCGGGAATCCGATGAAACCGATGCTTCCCATCAGTCTTAATGCAAACCTCACAAATTCCCCTTCTTCTTCCCCTCGATTCCCACTGCCAGACAGAACCCAACCCACACCCTCTATTCCTTCCAATCCCAACCCCATCTCCCACTCTAAAATTCCCTCTTCAATCGTGCACTATGGGAAGAACTCTCATTTCTTATTCTCTCTCATTGCTTCCATTGTTGGGTTAGTGCGTTGCCAACTCCTTCTTCCCCTAAATGTCACAGCCACCAATCCCAATTTTTCACTTCCCTAATTCCACCAACGGCAAAATCAACTCCCACATTTGTCGTCCCACGCTGGGCCCGCAACGCCGCCACGGGATTAGTTATATGAATCAGCCGGCAGCAGATCGAGGAGGGGGCTGCAAGCTAGCTTGGGTGGGACTAGAAGGTGTTTCTAGATCGGGTTGGCGATAGAGCTTGTCTCATTGCCGCTAGTTCAGGGTCGCTACTGACTGGTTTCTCCTGGGACCTGGATCGTCGTGAGATGAGAGGGGAGGCGAGAGAGAGAGGGTTGGGAAGATGAGAGATGATCGGCGAGCGACATGCAACATGTGGGCGAGCGGCGCGGCGAATGCTATAATGTCTCTCGCTATTTTTGTTAGGGTTAGGAAGAGTCCAGATGAGGGTGGGAGCCTATGATGACGACGTGGTGGGCTGAGGGGTGAGGGGGAAGGGTTTGGGCCAAGGCCCGAGATAGGGTGGGCTGAGGAGTAAGGTAAGATATGTGGACTGGGGTGATTTTCGGTTGTTCGGTTCGGTAATCGGAATCTCGGTTCGGTCGAGAAGACCTTGGTTTTCGAACTAACCACATTACCTATCCGAATTCCGAACTGAATAACTTTATTTTGATTTCGGTTCGGTCTCGATCGTTTGGGTTTGGTTCGGATTTACCGAACCGTATGCCTACCCCTAGTGCTCCCCATGGTTATACGCTAGGGCGAACCAACCCCTTCTCGAATAGCTCTTACAACTACTCCTTCAACTCCAACTCAACTAGCACCATGCGGTATGGAGCAATAGAAATTGGTGTCTGTAAGGAATCACTTAAATAAGAAACTCTACCTCTCGATGCGGCGGTATCCTAGAAAGATCTTCAGGAAATACCTCGGGGTATTCCCTTATGACAGACATCTTATATATTCTTCTCTTGCACCTCCTTGACGTGAGTCAAGTAGGCTTCACAGCCTTCTTAAATCAACAAGAAATCCTTTACGGCATAGATTAAACCTCCCAGAATTAGCTTCCTGTTACCCTTGAACAATTTTGTGCCTTTGCCCTCAATTTCAAGGCTAACCTCCTTGTAACAATCCACCCTTGCTCGATTCTTGGACAAACAATCCATACCCAATATGATGCCAAACTCGTCGAACAGTACCAGAATCATAATTGTCTCAAACTCATAACCAACCATAGTGATAGTGCAACCCCAGATGACAGAGTCCACTATCAATGTGTCCCCTACTAGGGTTCTCACTCATAGGTTCTAACCTAGCTTCGTAGGTGTTATCCCTAAGGTTCTCACAAACTTTGTGGACATAAACGAATGCCTAAAACCAAAATCAATTAATACGGGAAAGTTACATGAGGTTCCACGTTCATAAATCATCATATGATTATGGACAAGTCTTGATATCCTGATGTCAGCAAAATAATTTTCTTGTGTGGTGTTAAAGGTGGCAATTAGAATCCATATCCATGAATCTAATCCAATCCATCCACTAAAATATCAAACTAATCCAATAATTTTAGATTCCAACTCATTTTGTCCAAATCCAATTGAAATAATGGATTTATGGATTGAAACCATGGATCAAATGGCATATTATGTTTTAGTAGCTATATTTTTTATTTTTACATTTTGATACCTAAAATTTATTTATTTTTCCAAAAATATAGTTGGAAAATTACATTTTTGTACCTAAAAATTTTCATTGTGATATTTTAGTATCGAAATTTTTTCAAAATTTACATAATGATTCAAAACTTGGATGCCATTTGGATCTATAAATTGATCCACCAATCCAATTAATCAATCCATAAATCCCATCCTTTTGCCACCTCTACATGGTGTTGACCTAATCTCATAAAATTTTCATTTTGGAGAATCTTGTAAACTTCATTGTAGAATAAGGATCAAATCTTCCAAGATTATAAAATTGAAAAGTTAGTATCCTTATCCGGAAGTATAAGAAAGTATAGTCTTATTTTGTATAAATATTACGGAATCATATACATTGCTTTGTGACATTCATTCCACTCAACGGTGTGTTTTCTCATAGAACCTCGGATGGTGTATTTTCAATACTACCAACTTGCTGATTCTTTAGGATTTTATGACACAATCAGAAAGTGGGGAATTTGAAGACGATAGGAGGGAATGGAATGCAACCAAATCAAACGAATCAAAATCCCAAATCCAAAGTTGATGCTCACATGTAGCAGTGCTAATCTCTCCCCCCGGTTCCCAAAACCCGAATATATATTCTGATTTCTGTCTTAAATAAACAAATATTATTTCCCAGCCGGCCACCATTGTTCTTGTTGCCCTGCCTTAATTTTCTATTGTTATTTGTTAAATAAATGGGAATTCACTATTGCACAATTTTTTTTTTATCTTTTATTATTATACATTTATTTGTAAATAGGTAGGGAGTAATGACTGACAGTGCATAGCCAAAAAGAGAGACATCTCCACGAGCAGACGCCATTGTGGGGTTGGGTGCACGAACTTTGGCAAGCTTTTTCACTAAGGGACGCTGAAAGGAAGGAAGGATTGCTCTTTGGAAATCTCATCTGCGAAATCCCAGCTCCCAAATCAGGTTGTCATACTGATGACAAGGGTTTAAGCTCCGCCAGAACGAGAGAAACTACTGCAATAAATGGGAAGCTAGAATTCTTTGGGGGATAGAAAAAAATCCCTTCTTCAACAGCAGTTGAATGGTACGAACCCAGAAGAGCCTTTCGGCTGAACGAACCCAACAGAGGAACAAGCAATTTCGGTTTGTGGAGCGGAAGAAAGGAAAGAAATCGCTCTCACTCATTCAGATGGTGTAAGATTGGCGCGTAAGCAAGCAAATTGGAATTTCTTCACTTTGAAGCTTGAATCGTTGGAAGTCTCAGATTCTTCTTGGGCTTGTTTCTTCTTCCCAACAATTTCCCACCAGTCAAATCAGAGTCCATTTCTTCTAATGGTATTGGTTCACCTGTCTCTCTCTTCCCCTTTTAATATTCAACAATTGCTAAGCTAAGCTGGTCAAGCAAAAGATTGTGTGAATTTTGTTAGTTGAGGCTTGCAAAAGATTGAAAATTGCGGAAACTAGTTGCATCAGCAGATAATGGATGGGTACTGTATACTAATTTTCACAATTTCGAAGAGTGTGATGTAGACATGTAGAAGGAAAGCGAGAAAGAGTGAAAGAGACGTACGTAAACTAAATAGGAAGCGGTAGCTGAGTTATTAAAGGAGAAAGCGGGCGGCTTGGCAAGCAAAGCAGGGTTTGCTCTATGTGTGCGTGTGGACAAATCTGTAAGGGAAGGGAGAAATGGAAGGTATATAATTAGGAAGGATGCAGGGCATGTGTTGGTGATTTAAGACGGCAATGTGTTAGTGTTGTGTGGGGCATCATTTCTTGTGAGGTGGGGATTTCTTCAACACTTCTGCTAATGTAACTGGCCCTCCTTGCTTCCATTTCACGTGATTGTGCCGTGTTCCTGTCTCTAGCTTCCACACTGTATTTGTCCTGTGACTGTACAAATTCTCTTCGGGTTCCTCGTTTCCCCTCCTCTGTCCTCTCCCTGTGTTCAGCGTCTGTTTTGATTCTTTCCAATGGGGTGATGTTGGGAAGACATACGTTACAACTGGGGTTATAGGTATTTACTGTTTCTTAGTTTTTGACTTCTCAATTCCCCTTGTTGTTTCCGTGAGCTGGGTGTGTATGGTAGTGTTTGTCTCTCTCTCTCTCTCTCTTTCTCTTTTTGTTTTTTGCTGGGTTTGGTCTGATTTGCTTCATCCAGTAATCCAAGGGAGTAGTAAGGCATCAACTTTTCGTCTATCCAATTCCTCTGTCAGCTGTCACTTGTCCGCAACAAGCTGGTTCTTGTGGGTGGGGAACCAACGATAAAACCAGAAAAGGGGTAATACAGGAACAGGAGAACCTTATACGGGCAGTAAAAAAAATTTAATGCCGAGCCTTATCTAGAGAATTCCTCTTCCTGGGTCCTCCTTAATGCCTTAAAAGATTCAAGCTTTACCAGAAATTAGGAATTGAGGTTCCCCTTCCCTTTTAAGTCTCTTACTGCAGTTGAGAGGGAAAGAATGCCGGAAGTGCTTGGTTTATTTGAGAGTTTGGTGGGGATTGTTGTGGAGGTGTGTGGATGGCATGTGGGGATATAGGAAAGTGACCTACTTTCTTTTCACCGCTCTTAGCTTCTACTTTCTGTGTGCCGGTTTGTAAAGTGCAATGGCAATTTCATGGTCATTTGCCTTCTTCTGATTTGTGAACTCTTCTGTTATCTGATTCTGCTGCATATGCCAGATCTGCTGCTGCTACTGCTGATTAAGTTTAATTCTTCAAAACCCAGCTCATGTCTCAGCTGGATCGTCTCAGAGTAGGAGCCATGGATTTCGGCTTCTCCAAGATGTCACCGTCTCCAAAGGTTGGTTTGTTTGTACATTCTCATCTAAGCCTCTTACCAATTTCAGACTGCTTATGTCGGTTTCCTATGATTATCTAGCTTATTCATTTCCATATCCTAGTCTAATCTTTAAGCTGGTGCCTGAAAAGCTGCTCCTTTTTCGTTTCCCAGAAGGATTCTTGGAAGACACTGTTGTTGTTGGCTTATCAGAGTCTTGGCGTAGTCTACGGGGACCTTAGCATATCTCCACTATATGTGTACAAGAGTACATTTGCAGAGGACATCCAGCATTCAGAAAGCAATGATGAGATTTATGGGGTTCTGTCATTCGTGTTCTGGACACTCACTTTGGTCCCGTTGTTCAAATATGTGTTCATTGTCCTCAGAGCTGATGATAATGGGGAGGGTAAGTAGTGCCGGCAAAAGAACATTTCAGTACCACCTCACTTCGATAAGCCGATTGAGGAAATGTTTCATCTTTAAATTCTTGTAGGTGGTACTTTTGCATTGTATTCGTTGATCTGTCGGCATGCCAAAGTTAGCCTTCTGCCCAATAGGCAGGTTTCAGATGAATCACTATCCACATATATCACAGAACATCCTACCGAGAGGCAAAGCTTTTCCTCAAAGACATACCTTGAGAAACACAAGGGCTTGCACACTGCACTGTTGGTATTGGTTCTTCTGGGCACTTGTATGGTTATTGGGGATGGACTTCTCACTCCAGCTATTTCAGGTCGATTTTTCTAATCTGACACTCTGATTATTGACAACGTCACTTAGCATAGCTGGGAAACAACTCACTCTTAATTTCCCCTCTCTATTTGAATGCCAGTTTTCACTGCTGTGTCCGGACTTGAACTATCCATGGAGAAGCATCAATGTAAGCTTCTAAACTTCTAGATATTCAAAACTTTAACCATCTTTGTATTCTAATGTGTATTCTGACCTGAAGATCGGTTAAAGTAGATATGTTGTGACAGGAACATTTATCACGGGAGGTAGGTAATATTGAGCAAACCAGCAAAATGCTGGTGGCCCAAATCGATGTTTTCATGCTAGTTAAATGTGATTCTTATTGAATTTTTTTTTTGCTTCATCTTGGTTTGCCTTCACTCATCACAGATATGCTGTAATCTGAATTTGCAGATGCAGTTATTCCAATTACTTGCTTCACATTGGTGTGCCTTTTCTCACTCCAACATTATGGCACTCATCGTGTGGGTTTCTTATTTGCACCAATCATCGTATTGTGGCTAATCTGCATCACAGCACTTGGCATCTATAACATTCTGTACTGGAACGTCCATGTCTATCAAGCTCTTTCCCCATATTACATGTACAAGTTCTTGAAGAAAACAAAGAAATCGGGGTGGATGTCTCTTGGTGGGATATTATTGTGCATAACAGGTAACTAGTTATAAACTGAATTTGCTAAACTTCTTAATGCCCATGGCCGTTTTTCCATGTTACCGCTCCTTATATTTCATATAATCCTATTCTAAATGATCTTTTGATTGATTCAATTTGCAAACAAACAAACAAAAAATCAAATAAAGAGAGTTAATCCATTTGGTCACTGGGATACAGGATCGGAGGCAATGTTTGCTGATCTTGGGCACTTCTCATACACTGCAATTCAGGTGATTCTGAAGTTTCAACAGCTTGGTGCTTGCTCATCCATTAAGGTCACAAACTAACTGCTACATATTATTATTTGGTGCCTGCTTCAGATTGCCTTCACTTTTCTGGTTTATCCAGCACTTATAGTGGCATACATGGGTCAAGCTGCGTATTTATCACAACATCATGGGACAGACATTAGCTTTTATATTTTTGTTCCTGGTAAGCCTTTGCCACATTAATTGCGAAACTAGTATGGTACTACTGAGCGATCTGAGTTGTGGATTCATTTGATCTATCCTTGGAGAATTAGGAAACTGTGTTCCTGTATTCCTTGAAGACAAAAACTGACAAATTGTTGTTTTGGGTGCAGAAAAACTCAGACTACCAGTGCTCATACTCGCCATTCTAGCTTCTGTTGTGGGAAGCCAAGCTATCATCAGTGGGACGTTCTCTATCATAAACCAGAGCCAGTCACTAAGCTGTTTTCCCAGAGTGAAGGTGGTGCACACTTCTGATAAGATCCATGGCCAGATTTATATCCCTGAGATCAATTGGATGCTGATGATCCTCTGCATTGCGGTAACCATCGGCTTTAGAGACACCAAACACATTGGAAATGCATCTGGTGGGTTGCAAAATTGAATCATTTACCGAGTAATTCTATATCTTGGAAGCTCTTTATATTTCTCTTGATGATTGTATTTGTGTTTTTGCAGGATTAGCGGTGATGACAGTGATGCTGGTGACCACTTGTCTAACTGCCTTGGTTATCGTGCTGTGCTGGCACAAGCCACCAATTCTAGCAGTCGCCTTCCTGCTAGTATTCGGCTCGATCGAGTTACTGTACTTCTCAGCTTCACTGACAAAGTTCAGAGAAGGTGCCTGGCTCCCCATCCTACTGGCCCTCATCCTAGTCAGCATCATGCTGATCTGGCATTATGCCACCATCAAAAAGTACGAGTATGACCTTCACAATAAGGTATCTTTGGATTGGCTTTTAGCTCTAGGTCCGAGCTTGGGAGTTGCTCGAGTGCCTGGAATTGGATTAGTCTTCAGTGATCTCACCTCAGGCATACCGGCTAACTTCTCTCGCTTCGTAACAAACCTCCCCGCCTACCACCGCATCCTTGTCTTCGTTTGTGTAAAATCGGTGACTGTCCCTCACGTTCCTCCGGCAGAGAGGTACCTAGTAGGGCGTGTGGGTCCACCCGAGCATCGTTCTTACAGGTGCATTGTCCGTTATGGGTACCGTGACGTTCACCAGGATGTCGATTCTTTCGAGACCGAGCTTGTTGCGAAGCTGGCTGACTTTGTTAGATACGACTGGCATAGAGCAAATGTGCAGTGTTCCTCCCCAACGACGACTATTACAGATGACGACGCAGCTCGGTCTGTGGCGTCCTCGGGGGAGTGCAGATTGACTGTGATAGGGACCATGTCGTTTGCTGGAAACCCAGCTTACGAGGTGGATGACACGGTGCAGGCTGTGAGTGTCTCTGTAGGTGGCAGAACGGTAGACAGTTTGAGTGATGTGATAGAGATGGAAGCAGTGGAGAGAGGAGCGAGGAGGGTGAGGTTTGCTGTTGATGATGATGATGAGTCTGAAACTCATCAGACAGAAATGGGTGGCAATGATGTTGAGGTGGACGAGGAGTTGCGGGATCTGCTGTCTGCACAGGAGGCAGGCACTGCATTCATACTGGGACACTCTCACGTCCGGGCGAAACAAGGGTCGTCGATTTGGAAGAAGTTGGCAATCGATTTCGGGTACAATTTCCTGAGGAGGAACTGCCGGGGACCGGATGTGGCGCTGAAAGTGCCGCCGGTCTCGCTTTTGGAAGTGGGGATGGTGTATGTTGTATGAGGAGAAGACGTATACGTGTTTTCCAGTGGGAAAATACAGGTTGTGAGTTTAACCGATCAGCTAACTTGTTGTAAACGAACTGACCCTTTGGGGTATAGAAAATGGAGTGTGCAGCTATGAGTAGCTGTATGTGTGTTTTTCCCCCCTGTTAAATTGGAAAAAGAAGCTAGCAGTGGTAGCTTTTTTTATATGATAGTGATGGAGGTCGTTTCCTTGTGGCTTGTGGGGATTCTGAGCGTATTTTGCAGTGTACATAGCTTGGTACATCCTCTAATTTTTGTGAAATCGCACCCGAGGTTATATTGGAAGAATTCGCGGTAAAGTATTTTGCATTTAAGAATTGTGAAATTGCACGGGAAGTTATATCGGAGAACTTCACAATAGAGTATTTTGTATTAAATTAGTGGTTTAACCATGGTTAATCGTTTCTTGCAATTTGAACCGCCTACAAGTTTGAGTTCAGTATCAAGATATTTTATGTACATTCTTTTTCTAGAAATCCATTTTGGGATCGGCAAACTCCAGTGCCATATATACCCGACAAATCTTGGGAGCATTTAATACGAGTTTATAGCTCTACCAGTAGCCACCAAAAAGGTAACCCGACAAATCTTGGGAGCATTTAATACGAATTTATAGCTCTACCAGTAGCCACCAAAGAGGTAACGCAGAAGTGCCGACCGTCAAGAATCGAACCCAGCTGCCAAGAATCGAACCTAGGACCTCATGGATACAAACATACAGTTTAACGCCCATTATAAGAGGAAGCTTGGCGATCGTTTGGGAAAAGACCACGTAGTTTATCCAGTGACCACCAGATACGTCTAGTGGCTGTGGTTTGCAGAGCAAACGCAGCCACACCACCGGCCCAGCGCAGGAGGGCGAAGAGAAAAAGTGGGCGGCCTCCGTCCACAACTGATAGTACTACTTACTCCCTTCGCCTGCTTCATCAATTTGCGTCATTTTGGTATATAAACGCCAGGGTTTGTGAAATTCAATCCCGCGTCAGGAAATCACTCACAAGGACAGAGCAAATCATGATGTCCATCGTAAGAAGCGCCACACTTCCCGTCACGCCTTCCTCTTCCTCCTCCTCGTCCTTGAATCGCAACTGCCGGCGGCTTCCAGTGATGAGAATAGCTGCGGCAAAATCGTCAGACGGGGAAACGACGGAAGAGGAGTCGGAGAAGGGAAAGAAGAAGAAGGCTAGCAAGCAATCTCTGTTCACGTCAGTTACGGATGCCCTCGATTTCGCTCAGGTTCGATCCGCCAAGGACGCCGAGCTGCTCGACGACGCCAGGGAGAGCACCCAGTCCGGCGGCAGGATGAGCCGCGAACAGGTAATTGCTTCCTTCAAGAATCATATTATATGCTTTAACATCAAACCAATTCCACAACTTTCCCCTGTTGTGTGCGCAGTATGGAGCACTGAGGAGGAAAATTGGAGGGACGTACAAGGACTTCTTCAAATCCTACGTCGAGGGTAATTAAAGTTTTTTTTCTTGCTGGTGAGAATGTTACTTAGATTCGTGAAGCTTTCCTTGATTGACGAAATTGGGTTTGCAGTGGAAGGGGAGTACGTGGAGGAAGGGTGGGTGGACAAGACGTGCAAGATCTGCAGGAAAGACACGAGGGGAGAGGCACGCCAGGTCGACAAATTGGGGCGATACGCTCATGTGGCCTGCTTGCAGAACTCCGCTGCGAATGGTGGAGGCAGCAGCACCAACCCTCTTGGGAATTTCTTCACCAGGCTTTTCTCTGGCGGCCAGAGGTAGCGAAAGTAGGAGAGGAACAGGGAGAATATTACTGAATGCACAATGCAAGTGGGGGTTGTGTGACTACTGTCTTGTATCAGTGTATAGTGAGTGAAGCATGGCCAAAGGTGTCGCAACCACCATTTTCGCAGAAGTTGGTATCACTAGGGAGAGCAGGTTGACCGCAACAAGTGGTTAATCAAAACTCCAACACCTTACCTTAAATATGGTGTCATCTGGGTTGATCACTATGTTGCACTAATCAATCAAGAACAGGGCGGGAAGACCCTTCTGGCGCATTCTATTAAGCTCATTGCAAAAGTTGCATTGTCCGGTTACAATCATAGAATGTATATCTCTTACCTAAATATCCCATTTGGTGTTGTGACTGTTTCTACGGATAGTCTGATTCAAACCAGACCACTATAACTTCCAGTTTTCCCGAGATAGTCTGATTCAAATCATATCAATACTTGACACCCAAAGTAAACAATCGAATGAGATTTGCTTTTTGAAATGCTAAAGAAATTGGGATTGCGTCCGCAATTTATTTTATGGAATAAGGAATGTGTTTTCATGATATCCTGCTTCGTGCTAGTGATTGGAGTTCCTTCAAACTATTTTCGACCTTCAAGGAGTCTCAAACAGGGAGATCCTCTTTCACCGTTATTCATTGTTATATATTCAGAATGTCTTTTTGGGCTGATATCACCAACGATGGACATGAGTTTTTTAGAGCGGATTCACATTCACGCTTCTTGTCCTTTGGTGTCTCATTTATTCTTTGCTAATGAATCCTACTTATTTTAGCTACATCTCCAAAGTTATGTTCGACTTGCTCTTCCATGTCTATGGTAGTTTAAGTGGGAAATGAGTGAATTTAGGCAAGTTTGCGGTATTATTTAGTAGCAATACCCCTCCTCTTATTGCGTCTAATTTGGGTGCTGAATTAGGGGTTGAGGTTTTTGGTGCTCAAGATGACTATCTAGGTCTTCCCTCGATCATTTCCATATCAAAGAAAGATATTTTCCATGTTTTTTAGGAGAAACTCATAAGAACTTCAAGGGTGTAACCTACAAAATGACATAGAAAGTCCACTACCGACGATCGGGGTTGCATGTTGATGTAAAAGACTGGAAAGTTGCATTGGTTTGAGTCAGGTTTGGTTGGGGACAAACAAACAGTTAAGTGTGGGGGAATTTGATAACTCGGTATTCGCACATATTTTTTCCCACCATGCTTACACGTATTGAGACTCGATTCTCATGTTTTAAGCCGATTTCACGCTAGGCTGTTCTTTACATGATGTATTTCGGATCTTGGATCCACTATGTAGGCTTGGGAGCGAGTTTCGGGTCAAAAGCACCAAGTAAGCACCAAGTGGTAGAAAGGAGAGTTCGAGGACCAAAATACCCGGCCTACACATTAAATTCCAAGGGCTTCTTAGAACACGCCCACACCATTGTTTTTGGCAATAAAAGCACACATATCTATTTGGCAAAGGTCTTGACCTAAATACGACGTCGATGCTAAATGAGGCATTTGAAGGTGACATAACGCTAATGACCGCTGTGCAAGCTCTGGAACATTTTGAATCTATGGCCGCTATATCTCAAAATTGGTGTAGGAGTATTATTCCTATGACTATTAAATGACAAAGGCATCAGAGGATCCATTTGTTACAATCAGTTTACCTATTGAGAGGTAGAGAAGAAAACTCCACAATATGAAGGTAACAAGGAATCCATCAGCAGCACAAGTCTATGTCTGCGAATGCTTCGGCGATGACAATCATGATGGACACAATTGTGGGACAATGGTTAACTTCCTATCGATGAAATTCTACTACATTGGTACTCGCTATCTGATGACACGTGGAATGAGCTATTCTAGACCCCATATTATTATTCAAAATGCATATATTTCCTATCATTATCGTCATAATACCTTGAATTCGTACTATGATTGCTTCAAGTGTGCTTAGCTACCCTAGGATTGCTTTTATACGATTGATATGGTTTTTTGTAGCATTTTGTGCATTTCAGGTCAAAGCAGGCTAGTGGACCACTTGGAAACCCTTTTGTAGGGGAGAGACGAAAGATCTAGGAAGGGTTTGTCAGACCAACCTTCAAGGGAGAAATGGCGCCAGAAATGGTGCCACTAGGCCTGTTTTCTTTATTGTCGGCGCAATTTTCTGTGGGCATTCTAGGGTCTTTGTTTCAGTCGATGAAAACCCAGGAGCCCCTCTCCATGACTGACTAAGTTCCTTAGTTGCGTAAGTATGTGAACCCTAGGGGTTCTAACCATGTAAACTCGATGTTTGGTTTAATACGATTGTGTTTTTTTTTAATATGCGTTGATGTTTGATTTCCTCTATTTCGTTATTTGTCGATTCGAATGAGAGCTTAGTCGACCTTGCACCCCTTCTAGGTGCAAGGATAGAAATCCAAGTAATTTAGGATGAGGCTAGAAATAGCAGTCCAATTCGCTCGAATGTCATTCGATTAAACGACGTGACTCTTCATGGGAGAAATCCGAAGGGTACTTGTCTCCCATTAGTTCGGGTAGATGCTTCGTCACAAGGTGGGATTTAACGAAACAAGAAATCGGCAGCTCGTATGCCACCGATCATCGAGGGATGCATGGTTAGGAGACCTAGGCGGAACTTTCCTATGCAACGACTTACTTCTCTGATCTCTCACTCGTCCAGTAGCGTAGATTTACTTTTATGCGCCACATATTCTCAAACTCTAACGTTCTACAAAACCGGAGGCACCTCAATCTCCTAAACCGTTCTCTCCTTCAATAGAAACGTATTTCACTTCCAAAGTCAGGGTTTTAGCGAGAGACCCTAGGGAGATACAATCCTAGCCTTAGTGCTAGATGAATTTGGCTCTGTTCTACAACATATCAAATTTTGACGTTGTTGCCGGGGACATCTCGCAAACTTTGGCAAAGGGACAAGATAAGGTTCTATTCTCATTCCTTTTTTTAATTTTTCTGTTTTGAGTTGAAAGTAGTCCAAGAAAAACCGGTGGTAGAAGTGCCATTTTTCTTCCAAAAACCAACACACTAAGAAGTGACCAAGTGAGACGCGACTTAGGATGCATTATAGTGGATCTAAGCTTTAAGTTTCAACCTGGAGCCTTAGAGTTACTATTACTCGACGGTTGATGCAGTTATCCAGTGTTCGAATTGTAGTGAAGATTACAAAAAACTAAGGGGAACAACTAAACTTTGTTGATTCGATTCAGATGCAAAAGTCACTTACGTATGCGTCCCCCTACCCAGTAGTTAGGTCGAGTTATAATTCTTCTTAATTCATATTCATTGACATTTAGACTGCGAAAAGTTCTGAGATAGTCTGGAATCTCGACAAAAGCAATCCAAACCCTCCTTAATATAGTACCCGGAGGGAGATTATCCTCAACCAAAATAAACTACCAAGGAAATTAAATTAAATCTCCACTACTGGGGTTTGACTCTAGTAAAGAGCAATGATTCGATTCACTACTTGCATTTAGGGTGCTCTATCAACCTACTCAAAATTTATCACTCTTAGGTTAAAGCAGAAATCGAATGAATGTGATGATGACTCAATCAATTCTAGAAAAAGCCTCATTTGCATAAATAATGCCAATATTCACTATTCAAGAATTCATACAACAATTTATAACATACAAAGCTAGGGTTGTTCATACCCAAGTACAGAGGAGGTTTACTCCATGGAGGAAGAAAAGAACATGGTGGCTGAGGTATACATAATCGGGTTACGGTGAAAATCTGCTCCAAGTAGTCGTCCGCCACTCCAACGGAATGAAATCGAGCTCCAATAGTCACCAGAGATGCTCAAAATTACTCCTTGGGTGGTCTTTCGTCACCTTTTCTCTCCACAAAACATTCAGGTCGATTTTGGGTCTCTAGAATCGGATCCTTCAACTTCCCTATATCTCCTGGAGTTTCACGAGTTACAGTCGTAACTATCTTCCTACGCCCATAACTTGCTGAAACACTATTGTTGGCTAGAAACTGTAAACCAAGAATTATGGTTTCCCTTAACAAGTTATGGTCTAGGTCGTGAATTTGGTCATTTGCCCCTTCACTTCCAGATATCCTCATGTTCCTTTAGTTCCAATGACGTGCGACCTTGGGAGGTTAACGGCCAGGCCATAAATTTGAGGCTTTGGCCGTAACTCTCACTTACTCTGCTCAAGACTTGCTTCAATCGTCTCAAAACTTTCTCCAAAGCTCTCATTTACATAATAGGACTTGAAACATAAAAAATATGCACAACTTAGTGTAAAATCAACTTAGTGCGCTAGAAAATGTTCCAAAATGCTCCAGGAATGAGAGAATAAATATGTGTAATTAGAGCGTTATCAAATTCCCTCACACTTAAACGTTTGCTTGTCCCTAAGTAAACCAAGTAAGACATCATGCAGGCTTATAAAATCTTTCATGAAAAACCCATATCATAGAGGCACACAAATACATGAACCTTCGCTATTCAACATCGATACACAGAACAAAAACAACGACATTCGTATGCAGCAAAATCATGGAAAGGAAGAGTTTCCTCTCAGTTCACAGACCAACAAATGATTTGTCTCAACTACTCACTAGTCACAGTCAACTATGCATAAAGATCAAGACATCAGAATCAAAGGCCGAGCAATCTAGGCCCTCGCCGGATAGATAACATTGAACATGCATCACTCAGTCTCGACCAGGGAGGTCAGGAAATTATGATACAAAAGATGTGCATACTCATTCTCTCATCCCTAACGTCTCTTTACCATGAAAGTAGCCTCTAAGTGTTAAGGTTCACATAAAAGGTGTCACCACTAACTTGTCAGGAGGACTTGATCGGGTTGCAATGTGACTGGCTAGAGGCTAGGACATGGGGAACTAGATATTTAGGTGGTGGATGCATATAGCTCCAAGTTCCACAATTCTAACTCAAACCACATACACCTTCAATCATACACAACAACTTTCTCTTTTCATGCTGCTTATAGCATATTTTAAGCACATGAGTGTAAGAGGTAACAAATTCTTGACCAAGATTAAACATTTTGTGGCAACTCTCATTCTTTTCTTTTCTTTATTTTCCACTTCTTTGAGAGTTAACAATTCTACCACCCTTTTGAAATCTTAAAAACACATTTCTAATATTTTAGGCACTTCCTCCATCACTCATTTCCAAATTCAGCACAGATAATGAAAAAATCAACTATGTGGAATCTTGAAGAAACACAAAGGTGACTCTAACATACATAAAGAAAGGACTCACGAGTCAAGGGGGTTGGCTAGGGGGAATTATGATCGGGACAGTAAATTTGGCCATGGATAAATCCTGTCTCCATCTTCCTCATAAATGGAAATGTGATGCTACTTATCATGGTAAGAGAGATCTATTGCACAAGAAAGAAACGAGCAAGCTCAAATCTCACATGGCTGCCTATATGCTATCCCTAATTCTGAATCCTTGATTTTGATGCATAGACAACTGTATAAGGTGAGTAATCAAAACGTAGATACC